TTCCTATAATTAAGCAATAAATTCGTAAATTGCTTGCTTGGCATTTTTATTTGCCGTTTTTAGATGTCATCTGCATAAAGTTTGCAATAACTTTTTAATAAGCATTACAATCAAATGATTTTATAGATCAGACTATGGAGCTCTATGTTTACTGTCAGTTGGATTTACGGCATGCGAGTATGTAATAAACTTTTCGCATGATATGAGTCGTTTGTTTAATTAATTTCTGCAATATTCTTTCTTATACTGTAGCTCCAGGCTTGTCCTTTGTTGTCTCCCATCCCTTGCCATAGCATCTCACACTTTTTAGTTCTTTTTTTTTTTTGAAGATTTTCCTTTTTTGTGAACATAGCACGTTGCTTGTCGCTGTCGTCTGTCACAGCGTGTAGCGCCAGTTGCAGTTGCCCCACTCTACCACCTCCTCTTCCCCCCCCCCCCCTCTTGGTGCAACAGCCGCACGTACTGGATGGTCTGACATGTGCTTCCTCTTCTGGATTTTAGTATGTGCCTTGTGGGCCCCAGTGACTGCTGTTGTTGGCGCAGCAGCGGGTTCTAAAATATTTTCCACATGTGAAATTGAACTTTGCATCTTTGGGCGACGTGCGCTTGCCACACAGCCACACAGCATTGCAGCTTCACGAGAGTTGTTGCTGCACTTGACTTCCCTGACGCTCCTCATCCCGCCCGCTGACATCGTACTTCCCCATTCCCCATTCCCCGATGCCGCGTATGACGTTGTTTTGACACTGCGTACGCAAGCGCGTGTTTATAAATAAATATATATGGAAATTTATATTTGTAAAAATGTTCCGCACTCTTTACTTCGCTGGCGCTGTGCGGCGACTTTTAACATGTGTTCAGTGCCCCGCGTTTAGGTTGGCGACGAAGCAAGGGGCTGCACCCCTTTTTGTTTGAATGGGTGAGCATATGTGTGTGTGTGTGTGTGTGTGTGTGTGTGTGTGTGTGCGTATGTGTGTTGCTTCCTTTGAAGTTCATAAAAATTAACAAAAATCAATTTACGGCACAAATGACGCGCTGATGAGGCATCAAGGTCTGGGCTTTAAATGCTGCTGCTACTGCTGCTGTAAATATTTCCATTGTAATTTAATGTGCGCTTAGTGGCGTCGCCTCTGATCTGAGCCGCCACTGCTGCCACGCCCTTCTGCCAACATGTAGCACAATATGGGAGGAGGGCAGAGCGCACTTTGCCAATGTTTTGAATATTTCTTTCTTCGCTCTCTGCGCGTGTTGATTGCCCATCAAAACAAAAGCCAAGGCCAGCAAAAGGAGGGTAGGCTAGCGGGCTAGCAGGCTGGCAGCAGGCAACAAGGCACAGCATGATATTTGCATATACTTGGCAATAGCAACCCCCTTCTCTTCCCTCCCTTCTCATCCCACCCGCCAACCATCACCAACGACAAACCAAGCAAACCAGCGTCTAATGCCAAGCGCTTCAATTCGATAGCGCGGCAAATATGCGTTTATGTACAAGTAGTGAGTGCGTGTGCGCGTGTGTGTGTGTGTAGTTGTGTGTAGACCCAGCAACTAGAGGGAAAATAGGAAAAAAAGTTGTCAACATAAAAATAGCGACGATTATGATGAAAATATTCATGCGACAGCGGAAGCCAGCGCAAAGTGCCGCGAAATAGGACTGGATCAGGGGCAGAAACGTGATCTGGGGAGCAACGGTAAGCGAAGGGGAGAGGGACAGGCACAGCATGAGCGGCAAGCAATGTCCTCGTACTTATATTCCGAGTTGTTTATGTGTACACATTTGTATGTGCAAACGTTGCGCAGCACATTTGACTTCCACTTAAAACGTCATCAATGTGCTCGGCAAATATGCAGCACAAGGAGCGCAGGGGCGACAAACACACTCACACACATTCATAGATTCGAGTATATAGTCCATGTCTAAGTCTATATACAGCCATATTATGAGTTGAACTGGAATTAGTTGTAAAGGCCTTTGTGAACATGAAAATCGTTGCTTTTGTCCACAACAAAATTTCACTAAATTATGAAGAAAAACAATGCTACATACTTATGTCTGATATATTGTTATGTGCTTGGACATTCTCGATACATAAGCACACAGTCGAAAGAACTGCATCTGCACCTTAGTTGAAGGATTCACTTAGAGAGTGAAAACAACAACATTGTAAAGTCTTCAGAGTTCAGGTTACTTCCAAATATTAAATTCTTACTTTAACATTGACGGTGACTTCCTTGAATTGTTGTTTAGTTAATTTTGCTTTTCATGTAATCTGCTAAGAATATAACCAATTTCTTTTACTTTAGCTTCGACTACCCAGTATGAATAGTGTTCAGGTTATTTCCAAATATTAAATTCTTACTTTAACATTTCTTGAATTGTTGTTCAGTTTTTTTTTTTTTTGCTTTTCATATAATCTTCTAGAATATGTACTCATAACCTATCCAAGCCACATCCGAATGATAGTTTACCAAATTTTTTTGTACTTTAGCTTCGACTACCCAGTATGGACTATTTCTAAATATTAAATTCTTTCTTTAATAGTAACATTTCTTGAATTGTTGTTTAGTTTATTTCCCTTTTCATTTAATTTGCTAAGAATATGTGCTCATAGCCAATTTCTTTTACTTTAGCTTCGACTACCCAGTATGGATGTTGTAGTTATGTGAAATACAATTGGCAGTCGTTGGTCTAGCATTTGGTTGCACGTGCTTTTTACACTCTGCAGCTAGAGTAGAACAGATCAGACATGGAGGCATGCTGTTAAAGGGCCAAAGGTCTAATAAAGCATTACACATAATTAAATTTAATGCGAGACGCGCAAGTTCCAGTCGAAGCAGGCTGCAGACAGAAATGTCTAAATCCAAGCATCGAAATTCAATTTGCTACAAAATCCAACGCACTTTGAGCGCGAAGAAATCAGGGATGAGGCTGGGGATGACGATGATGGCAGCAACGATGAATACGACTGACAAGAAATAGAAATTGTGTCTCGTTTTGGCCAAATCCTGTCATAAATTCTGTGATGCCAACAGCTACATACAGCAACAAAAGGCACTTGGCAGTCAGTCAAGCAGACAGACCAACAGTTCACCAGTTTGTCATTCTGTCAGCCGCTTGGTCGCTCACATGGCCAGACGACGTCGAAGTCGACCCCAAGAAAATATGCTGACGTCGTTGCCGAATTATGATTTGTTTACGGGTGGTGAGAGAGATGGTTAAATAAAATATGTAAACGTAGTGGTCCTGCAAAACGACGGGGGCCTGATTCAAAGTCTCCAACAACAGAACTGGGTGGCCTCAAACAACGAGTTAAGGATGTGCTCGTAAAAAGCATAAGGCACCAAAAAATCACCCGATCACACAAATACAAAAAATTCTCAAACATACACGCTCCACTAACCAAGCCCTGCATTTGGCCATTTTTCTAGTAAGACTCTCGCTCTGCTGGCCAAATTATAAAGTTGTTTGGCTCAAAACTGCTGACGCCATGCTTGTAAATTTCACTTTTTTTCTTCATTTTAAAAAATGTGCCAAAAATCATTTAATCCATCTACATTGATAAGCTTTTGCAGTTGGTGGCGCATGATTTGCAAGTTTGCACAAAAAATGGTCGCAAGATCCAGAGCAGACATGGGAAGCAGATTGCTGTCTTTATGTAGGGACGTGAGTTGCGGTTGTAAAAACGTTGCCTAGTTTCTTGCCTAGTTAAGTGTGAAGGGGACGTTGGCACATGGCGCCAGCTATTTGCATACCTGCTGAAAGATTCAAATTTTGACTGGCAAATTACATGCATACTTGATGGGGCATTATGCGAAAAGAAACCCCTTCAGGAGCTAAGGATTGCATTCGAACGCTTTTGTTGCCAAATTAATGTGCTTCGATTGTATTCGTTTATATTCAGAATGGATTGTGTATTTCTATGTGTTGAAATATATAATTGTTCTCGTTAGGAATCTTCCTGTGAGCTGGTAAATTGAATTTTTTATTAGCAGAATAATATTGAAAAAATTGAAAAATGATGTAAATCGTTAGATTATATTGTTAAAACGTCTAGTTACAGTTTCCTGAATGGCTCTATCGATTCTTGCTTTTTGCAAAAAATCTTGAACCCACTTGAATAGAAGAATTTTTGAACTGGCTTACTTGTGTTAATTTCTATAACGCCTTCTGTTTGAGGACGTTAAAGACTAAAGTTATCAGCATTATTATTATTGTTAGCGAAACTATTGTATATGATAGTTGGTACGACTACGTATTTCATCTATGAATAGGTTTTCCTATTTTTTATTCCACCAATGTCTCAGACTTATGTTTCTGCTGCGTTCATTTGGTTTCCAAAGCTAATTTAAGAATTTCAAATGACACCATAAGTAGAAGAAAGAAATTGGAATCTTGTATTAAACGCATGTCTATATACTTGTATGCAAGAGATAACAAAAGTGTTTAAAAACTAGATTCTATAATTTGGTATATGAAATTCCGAGTTGAACCTAAAAATTGTTCAATTATCATTGTGTGTTGAGTACAATTTCAAAAATTGTTAAAAACATAAACTAGAAAGATCTTTGACTAACAGACTAATAAATTATTATGCAATGTCGCTTCAATTTTATAATTATCGATATAAAAACCTCTTGACCAGCTTAGAAATTTAAGGGAAAAATATAAGCTCTTGCAGTTCTAAGCTTTATTGGCATTCATTTCGAGTCGCTTGTAAATTAAGACTGCTAATAAGTTAAATTCTGAAAAACTGTAATCAAGCATTCAAATGGGAGAGCTTATTAGTATTTATGTTTCACAATACTTCAGGCATCAAATCATCAGGCGCGCCAATTATAATGAAAGCTGCTTTAGTTCCACATTATTTGGTCTTTTGCTTCAGGATCTGAGACACAAATCCTGTCACCCTTGAAAATAATTACATACACTCTCCTATGTATTCGCATATTATATAATCTATACATCAAAGGAGTTGATTATTTCTTAAAATGGCAGTACTTACTGTTCTTTTGAAAGTCCTGTGACTCCTCGTCCGCTTGGGTTATATCTAGGCAGCACATAATGCTCAGTAATAGGAGCATTGCCATAGCAGTTAATGTCGTCTCCTTGCCACCTTGCCTGTTCCACCAATGGAGTTGCATGCAACTGCTCCTTGTCGTTGATTTTCGACGAGCATTGTGCTGTTGTTGCCAGTGTGTGGTGGCACGCCCTGTAGTTGATGTTGCTGTTGTTGTTTTTGTTCTTGTTGATACTATAGTCGATCGCATTGTTGTCGCAATTGTTTCCACTGCTGCTGGTTCTGTTGTTGTTGTTGTTGTTGTAGTTGCAATTTGTTTGGTTGCGGTTGTGCTTAAAAATTGCATTGCTGCCATTTTTGTTTCGTGCTGCGTTCCAAACGCAAAAAGTTCTCGTCATTTATGTAACAAACTTCAATTTGACCGAAAGTGACGAACGAAGTGAAAGCGTTAAGACCAGGCCCAGAGCTAAAACAACCACAACAGCTGCAGCAACAACAACAACAATGTAAATCGGAGCAATGAGTGCAGTTCATGTGTTCGACTGTGTTTCGCAGCGGTTTTGTAGCTGGTTTCTTTTTCGATATGGCGGCTATAATAAACACACACACTCACTCACACATATACCCGTATTGCTGGTGCTTTTCTTGTGTTGCTGGCGTTGTTGTCGGCTATTTCCGTTTCCGCTTCTTAATGAAGCGTCTTTAGTTGGCTTCAATGGCAAAACCATAAAAAGCACATTTGAGTCCGCATTTATATGTATTTTTCATGTTGCTCGTTGGTTTGCCTTTTTCTCGTCCCGCTGTTGGTGTTGTTGCTGATGCTTTGAAATCGAACGCATGTCCCTTTGCGGAGTTCCAGGACTTAATGTCCTTTTACATGTTTATTTGCACTTTTATTGCCTTTTCCAAGGGCCGGCTCGTGGCACGTCTTGTTGGCTTTCCTTTTTTGCTCTTCTTTTTGGCGCAGATTTAATACGTCAAGCAATTTTAGCCCTTTGCTGCAAATAGACAAAACAAAACCGACAAAAATTACACATACATACTCGTATATACATACATAAATACCATGAGTACTTTAACTTCAACTGGGGAGGAATGTTGGCAGTGTTTTATGTGCATAGCAACAGAAACACCAGCAACAAAAGCTGCCGCAAACAAGCTAAATAAAGTCTAAGCAGCTTGGGAAACCAAGCGGGTTGTTGCTGTTTGTTGCAAAATATGAAAAAAGTGCTAATAAAATTTTTATATTGACGAGAAATGCGTACATCAGGCAAATTGAGATCGTAAAGTGCACACTAACTTCTTCAGAAAGGGCAACCGAAAGGCAAGGGTGAAAGCCGAGTATTCTTTGGCACTCACCAAAACATCATAAGGGAAGTCACAGAGCTTGGCCTTATCGCGCACTTAAATTGGGTGTTTTATGAGCCCATACAATCCACCTCCACCTCCACCACCCCCTCCCCCCATTCGCTGCTGCATCGATGAAGTGTGATTAATGGCGCGTTTCGATGTTAGTCCTTAGTAATTAAGAAGGAAAATTTATGGGCCGCCACAGCTGACCGAAGCCACAGCCAATAAAATTCAAGTCACAAGTGTGCTGGTGGCTGCTTTATCACCTAGCCAAATGTTGTTCTTGTGCCCTTTAATTGCGTGTTCACGACCATCACCATCAGCAGTGAGACTTCACGAGGCATCAAAATTGATAACACACACCCCTCCCGACGCTGCACCCCCCACCCAAACGGAGGGCGAAGCCAATAGTGTAGTGAGAGGTGCCGACGAAGCCAGCGAAGCGTTTCAGCCACGCATGTGTCACGGCTTGTTTGCCCTAACATGGTGTAGGGGTGTATGTGTGTGTGTGTGAAGAATGGGTTTTGTGTGCATGTGTGTGTGTGTAGTGTTAGGGGGATGCGTGTGTGTGCTGTTGCATTAACAACGTGCGGATGAGCGCGACAACGGCGTTGACAACAACGACGCCACTGACGATGATGATGACGATGATAATAGCAATCATGGCTGTTGCCACACAACATAATGATGATGCAGAGCTTCACCTTAACCCAGAAAGCCGCGCACATAATTATGCAACACTTTATAGTGAGTTTGTTAAATGGCTACAACATCCGTAGGACCTAAGCGCAATCACAACAAGAGGTGAGCCAAAGGGCTGGCGGAGACCGCTTAATGCTCGTAAAAAAATATCGCCATTATCGCATTTGGTTGCTTTGTTGTTGTCGACAGAATGTTATATAGAATTAAGAATAACAAAACCGCATAATCCCTGCATTTTGCAGCATTGCCTGTACAACTTCTCGCTTTCATTTCAAAATCATTTCATAGAGCAACGGGATAAGTAAATAATAATAACAAACATATACACAAATAATTCTATGTAGTATGTGGATAAAAGAAATTTTAAATAAATGCAAGGAGAGCGACTGTTGTGGAAATCAGAAATATCTGGGGAATTGAAAGCTGCATGAGGAAATGTTTTGTGCATTCTCTTTCATATACTCTCCGATAGCCTTGTGTTCATAGATACGGATGCTGATCAAGAATATATATACATTGTTGTCCATTCTACGTGTTAGTAATAATAATACTGTAATATATAATATAATAATATTAATAAAACGAGCCAACAAAAGTGGAAACAAACAAACAAAATGCTTAAAAATTATGCAATTTCCATCTACTCGCATACTTAGCTTAATTAGATGAAGTCTAGACTTGTATACCATTGACTTAACACTTGATAGTTGTTTTTCGTCGAATCAACGACGATATGTTTTAAATTTGTTTCTTTTTCTTCAAAGTTCTGTTTTGTGCTTATGCAGATTACTAGGTCTTTCGTAAGTAGGGGTTCTAACAAAATACAAAATAATGTTCAAGAAATTAAGTTTAGAATTTTTATTATTCTAAGTATTATGTATATAATTTTGCATATAAAATGATTATACTAAAGTCTATTTAATGTACGACTAAAAAGAAAAGTACTTGAAGCTGAGTCAAATATATGAAGACATTATATGTTGATTTTTTGAATAATGTCAAAGCTCTAAGAATTTATTTCTAATCAAATTTTATAATAGATAAAATAACAAATTAAATATTTTAAGATTAAATAAAGATATAAGACATTTCTCCTGTTCTAAAAAAAAAAAAACAAATCAAAAGGCAATTAAGTACCGTCTATTTCCAAAAAAAATTGTATATTATATTGATTAATAATGTATGGTTTATTTTCAATTGTTAAAATTTGACAAAGGTTGTATCAGGTATTCCTTAAAGCTTAAATATTAACTTTGTTGTGACTGAAAATGTTATAAATTTAAAATTATATTTTAATCTTCCGAAAAGGTTCGGCTAAGTGGAAATGAAATAAGAAAAAATACCCTAACCTTTGAATGTAGGATCAGTTTAAAAATCTAAGGATCTGTCAAGAAGTGTCCAATCAAAACTGTCTATCATATTGAATAATATTGTATGGATAATCTTCAATTGTTTGAATTTTACAAAGGTTGTCATAATTATTCCTGAAAGCTTAAAAACATTATCTTTGTTTTAACTGAAAAAGTTATAAATCCAAAATTATATTTTTATCATCTGAAAAGGTTCGTCTAATTGCTATAGGCTATTATTTTCTTTGTGGAAATGAAATAAGAGAAGATATCCTAATCTTTGAATGTAGTTTAAAAATCTAAGGATCTGTCAAGAAGTGTCCAATCAAAACTGTCTATCATATTGAATAATATTGTATGGATAATCTTCAATTGTTTGAATTTTTCAAAGGTTGTCATAATTATTCCTGAAAGCTTAAAAAATTATCTTTGTTTTAACTGAAAAAGTTATAAATCCAAAATTATATTTTTATCATCTGAAAAGTTTCGTCTAATTGCTATAGGCTATTATTTTCTTTGTGGAAATAAAATAAGAGAAGATATTCTAACCTTTGAATGTAGGATCAGTTTAAAAATCTAAGGATCTGTCAAGAAGTGTCCAATCAAAACTGTCTATCATATTGAATAATATTGTATGGATAATCTTCAATTGTTTGAATTTTACAAAGGTTGTCATAATTATTCCTGAAAGCTTAAAAAATTATCTTTGTTTTAACTGAAAAAGTTATAAATCCAAAATTATATTTTTATCATCTGAAAAGTTTCGTCTAATTGCTATAGGCTATTATTTTCTTTGTGGAAATAAAATAAGAGAAGATATTCTAACCTTTGAATGTAGGATCAGTTTAAAAATCTAAGGATCTGTCAAGAAGTGTCCTAAAGCGGCAACACTGCCCGCTTACCTTAAATACTCGTAAAGCCTGGAATGTCTCTAACATATTCGGCGTTGTTTGCTCTTTTAATGAGCAACACACCTAAACACGCACACAAACACACACACACAAATATAGCATACATACAAGTATATAAATATACTCGTACAGTCACATGCACATAAATAAATAACACGCTTGCTCATACAAAGTTCATAAATTTTTATGAACTTTCAACAACGTTCTCCTCCTTTTTTTTTTTTTTTTGATGCGTTTTGATTAAAAGATAATAACTGGCAATGTGATGTGCCGTTGTTGCTACACATATTTGTTGTTGTTGTTGTTGATTTTGTTGCTCTTGCCGCCGCTACATATTTGAAGACACGCTCGAGCGATCTGTGCCTTATGCCTTGCCTCCTCGCCCTTTTTTTCTATGCTTGGCTTTCATTTTTTTGCCCCTATTTACATTTATTTATTTATATGCCGCGTTTGCATCTTTGTATGTGTGTTGGTTGCTGTGTTGTTGTGTGCGTGTGTAGCCTTGTTACCTGCACATAAATTAACAAACATGCAGACGGTATACGGCAAGCAGACAAGCGGACAATCAGACAAGCAGACGGAATGATATTCAGTCCATGCAGACGGCTGCCATTGCCTGTTTGTAGGCGTCGCAGTCAAACTTTCCTCATTAGCAAATTTGAGCTTTCATGTGCAAGGCAGAGAAGTGGCTCGCAGAAGTAGGATGGGGAATAAGAAGAAGAGGCCAGTTATGTGGCACATGTCTTCAAGGTGTGTGTGGCTGTGTGCAGGTGCGGCTCTGGCTGCTCTTGCTCCTCTTGTTGTCAGCCAGTTAGTGTATTTTATTACTGATTAATTAACTCAAGGTAGTGGTGTGATGGCTGAGGCTTGAATATGCTGGGGATAGGGAATGTGGGATGTGGAAGGAGACAGAAATGCTGATGTTGTGTAGTAGTAGTATTATGTCATTTCATTTGTTTCGCTGCTGCTGCTGCTGGTACTTGGACTCGGGGCCATATAACTTGAACTTTAATGACATCGAAGAGGGTGGAGGGTTTGCTAATTAAAAAAGTTTGCGACTGTTGTAGCTACAACAACAAAACCAGCAACAAACAACAACAGCATCGCTTGACTTTTTAGTTTGGTACACGCTGCTAGGATAGTTGTCGCTAATATTGTTGTTGTTGCTAGAGTTTAATTCTCCTTGCCATCTGCGTGTGCGTGTGCCATGGCTGTGTGCCCAAGTATTATGTAACAGTAACTATTGACAACTATTGACAAGTGCGGACGTTGTCCTCATACCGAACATTTTCATTATTGTCCTGCAGAGGCTGCACGTTGCTTGACGAATCATTTGCTGTCGATGAATGCTGCTCGTTGCGAACTATGAGCTGTGGTTGCCATCGCACACCGAGAGGAAATGTGCAAATGAAAATGGACGGGTGACAGAACAGACATTGTAACAAAAGCGGGTGGAGCGTCATAGGCACATGTAAGCATAGGATTAGACAGTAATGGACATAAATAAAAGCTCAAGCCTCAAGAAACCACACAATTTACTCGAAATTGAAGAAACGAATGAAAATGTTACGGTTTGAAGAAATACAAAGATTGAAATGCATCCGTAACTGAAAAATTTTAAACGCAAGCAATGCAGCTAGTGTCAGCCAAACAGTTTTTATTTAACTTCATGATTGAAAATCTTTA